GACATTTTCTGCATTCCCAGTGGTCTTAAATTTTTAGCAGATTATCACTACAACCTAACACATGTCTGAGAGTGTTAGACGTTCTCACGTACCTTAGATTGGAAAACGTTTAAACAGCACTGCCTCTTTTTCTTCTTTTTTTTCGCGAGACATTGCAGCATTGAAACTTATCATTTTCATTGAAAAATAAGTCTTCGTTAGACAACATTTGATGTTTTTACTTCTTATCTGAATAGTTCTATATTATTGGTAATGTATCAAAATTCTAATAAGATTTTCTTTGAATTTCTTCGATAAAAAATTGTTATAGTTGAAATATAAACCTGAAAACGTAGGTTTATGGTAGACTTCAGTTTCAAACTTTCCATTCTTTTCTGATGACTAGGAAGTCCAAGAACAGTATATCAGGTTTTCCTTTACCGCCTGTGATTATATTATTTCTATGTTGCTTATTTAACACTATTTTCTGATGATTAGGAAGTCCAAGAACAGTATATAAGGTATTCCTTTGCTGCCTGTGATTATATTATTTCTATGTTGCTTATTTAACATTATTTTCTATGACTAGGAAGTCCAAGAATAGTATATAAGGTTTTCTTCTGCCGCCTGTGATTATATTATTTCTATGTTGCTTATTTAACATTATTTTCTATGACTAGGAAGTCCAAGAACAGTATATCAGGTTTTCCTTTACCGCCTGTGATTATATTATTTCTATGTTGCTTATTTAACATTATTTTCTATGACTAGGAAGTCCAAGAACAGTATATCAGGTTTTCCTTTACCGCCTGTGATTATATTATTTCTATGTTGCTTATTTAACACTATTTTCTGATGATTAGGAAGTCCAAGAACAGTATATAAGGTATTCCTTTGCTGCCTGTGATTATATTATTTCTATGTTAATAATGGCTGTAGACGGCTTGAATGGGTAATGAATAAAAAAATTAATATAAGTTTAACATAACAGCAAATGTACAACGTTTCGACAAGGTTTTGTCATCATCAGGTACTATTATTTCTATGTTGCTTATTTAACATTATTTTCTGATGACTAAGGAGTCCAAGAACAGTATATAAGGTTTTCCCGCCTGTGATTATATTATTTCTATGTTACTTATTTAAGTAATCAAGAAACGTATTCATCTGTTCTTCATTCATTTTAGACCCTAATGGTTTCAAATCTTTAGGATATTCTTGTAACCATATCTTTACAACACATTTGCTAATATAAGAGTCAGACTGGACCCATACTAACTCCATCTATTTGCTAATATTCCTTTTCCATAAACAAAAAAATGGGATTCTTTTGTTGCTGTTTCCCATTTTGCGAAATATTTCTTTGGGTTTACACTCAAAGTTAGTTATTGTAAATCACGTTTACACAATTCAATGGTCTCTATCGTGTGTTAGTAAACAGCGATTCTACATCAAAACTAGCAATTACTACAACATGATCGAAATTTACCTCTTTGATGTTGTCAACAAACTCAAAGATGTCTTTCAAAGTATACACGTTATATATAAATTTCTTTTAAGCTATTCCTCAAAATGGTTGCTAGTTTGTAGCCATAAATCTAATATTTGATGTGATATGTCTCATGGGACAATTTAGCTTATGTATTTTTGGCATACCCATAAATAATAACAAAATGCGAACGAGTTGGTCTTATTTCTTTTGTATAATCGATACTTGACACCGTCGTTACTTGGTGAAACTCCATAATTACATAAACAACTGTACGTTTAACAAATACTTCATGTATTAACGACCAATGTTTCGACATGAGGATGCCTTTACTGGCGAAATCATAGTCGTTAATAATTGGTGCCTTTACTGGCGAAATCATAGTCGTTAATAAAGGAAGTATTTGTAAAACGTACAATTATCTTTGTTATTATTATTTTGTATAATTGCTCATTTATAATATTTTCTTTTTTGTTTAACTAAAGTAAATTTCTACTTACTTTCGTTTCTCTAGATTTAGTTGGATCTCTTTCTAGAATCCAAAATTGAGTAATAACATTTATAATTTCAAGCACCTTACTGTTGCAATATTCGTTAAGATTATACTTCATAACCTTTCTCAACTTTAGTGACTAGAATATCCTTATTTTTACTTTATTTCATTAACACTTGCCTTTCTAACAAACTAATATTCCATGGTTTAGGGTTAAAATTATACACATATAAGCCACTCAAACCTTTGCTAGAAATGTGTGTGTACATACATTATTAAAGTTAATCTGTGCTGATGGATTAATTGTACAACCCTTAAGGGCCTTTAACAAAAGCTCGGACCCAAGTAGATAATCATGAAACTGTAATCATTTAGGGTTAAGTACAAATCTTAATTCCTGAAATAATACTTTCTTTTCTAAATCATTTAAAGTATAATTTGATAAATTGATGATGGCATCATCGGGATTTCTGGAGAATGATTTACTTATGTGAAAACAATTGTGTTAAATTAAACGTGTGCAAGCAAAAATGATTTACCAAAGAAAATGATAACCAGCATAATCAATATTCACGACCATGGTTTAGCCTGTACCTGGTGATTCCTTTACTGGTGAAATAATGGTCGTGAATAAATGATGTATTTGTGAAACATATAATTGTTTTGTTTTCCTCAGTTTCTGTAATTATTTTGTAGTTAAAGACAGTATAAGTAAATCAAACTGCTCGATCGTTATCTACATGTATAAATGTCTTGAGTGTCCTATAGTATATATATAGGATCTACTACAAGATGACTAGCTTATGTAAATGTGTCCAATATTCGTAAGCATGTGTTAGATTGTAGTAATACTCCGATAACAATTGAACAGCTTAAGATCACTGGGACTGCTGGAAATGACTGTTTTACCAAACAATGATACTTTGACCACTAAAAATGTTAACTCGGAACTGAATACAGTCAAGCTTGTTTCGAAATGATAAAAATTAAAGGTTAATCCGATAACTACACAAAAAGGCTATCTGGGCACACACATCACGAACACTTGAAATACTTTTGTATCGCTGTTAACCATCAGTCGTATAGTGCGTCAATGGCTTTAAAGCAAGGAGCGCGTTTTGGGGGAAAAAGGACGCGAACCGTAAACACTTAGTTCACAAAACAAGCACGATAACCGAAGAGTAAAATAAGTAGTGCTTTGTTTTCCTTTACTTAATTGATTTGTTGTATTACTTGGATAGGTGAACATAGCCTAAAATACCGCTTGATATTGATTTTGAAATTCACTACCAACAAAACTGCACTTCATTAAAGTCGTATACATATGCCAATTATTCTACCTTGGTCTTGATAACTTAGCATATAAAACAATCAATGTATTTAAAAAAATCAGTTAAACGTATATGAAATATAATGGTTTCAAATATATTTTTAAGATGTTCCATATGTAACTAAGCATTTAAGAAGTAAAAGAAAACTAGTAGGGACCAATAGATAATCCACGGTGATAATAACGTCTACAGTAAGGAAAATAACACTGTTTGTTGGATTGATAGCGCATGTTTTGAAAATATCAAGAATGGACTAAGGCATTATAAGATATTTTAAATAATGTTCCTAAGCTTTGTAAGTTAAAAAAATGTATCCTCGCGATAGAGGTAGGGTTATCACACATGTTAACTTTAATTCGCCGGACCGTAAACAAAATAAAAATGGCGTACACAGCTGTGTGCAAGGCAGTGTGCAATCGTGCACTCAAGTGAGACGGACACAAACAAAATAAATAACAGACTCAACCAACCATACGACTGATTACATAATATAATAAATAACCTTAGACAGTATAACTTAAAATATTAAAGAAATGAGGTAATAAACAAGAAGTTTATTTCATCATAATGGAACATGAAACTATTAATTATTGCTTTTTTTTGTCAACAAATAATGTAAAACGTTCCCAAAGTAAATTGAAACTAATAGCCTCACGTGACGTCAGGAACGTCACTGTGAAAGTGTTTATACGTTGATAAAAATGGTGGCGGTCTTCGTCAATCGAACCGTAGCTTCGGAAAGTAGTGTAAATAAATCACTTTATCGTAAATAACATTGGTTTCCAACTACTAAACATGTGAAATACGTAAAGAACATTATTAGTGTTTAATCACTTTTGTTTTCAGTTGTGTTTCGGCATTTCTACGAGAGACGCTAATGTTTATAGTTAATCTGCACGTTAATATTCTGACATCGACTTCTTGAGCCAGCTACGGCGACTTTACATTTTAGTTAAGATAAGGTAAACACAGAGTTCTTTACTTTTAAAAAGTCTCAAAAGAATTAAAATATAACTTAATTATTGAAACCTGTATTTTCCGTGAATTTGGCATTGTGTTTGATAAACTACTACTACTAAACAAGCTTGTAATTATAAGCTGTTATTGTAGCAAACGAAAAGATATAACGTTACTGAATTTTTTCTTCTTGTATAATTCAACAAAAACTTCTATTGTACAACACTAGTTAAACAATTATTGTTTAATACCAGTTATTACATAACTAAATTAATACAACACGTGTAATAGGTTACATATAATTCTACACTAGAACCTCCTACTTAAAGATACATCAGAAGATATATTCTAAATATCTCACAAACACGCACACATTACAAATGTGTAATATGCGGAATCTTTTTAGGTCTTATTTGTGATTCGGTATAACTGCTATTTAAGAGGAAATGAATTAAACATGAATACGTCATGTGAACTGATTAAATTCTAGAACTGGCCTCGGTTATCCTTTTAACAATGGTGGAAACTTTAAGATAGATCTGAATGACTTTAGCGTCTGTATTTTTGACAAAGATAAAAAAGACATGACAAAATGGGTAAACAATAAAAACATTCTTACTCTTACAACTTCAAATAGTAAATTAATATTTAACAAATTTCTCGTCAACAGTGACGTTTTTCTGTAGTTGAACTATAACTTAGTTTTTAGTGTCAACTGTCTATGTCTTAGAATATATATTTTAAAATTTACCCTGATTATTCCTGTTCTGCCAATTACCGGCAGAAATTGGTTGCCCGTCCTCTCTTCTCCACGTAACTGTCGGGGTGGGGTAGCCTTTAGCTCTGCATGCCAAAGTAATGTTAAACCCTTCTCTCACCAGCTCATCAGAACTACTCTCACCATCAATAATCACTGGTGGAACTGGAACACAAAAGGTGGAGTTGTGAGCATTAGAAATGGTTTTCAGCTGAATAAGCACATGCTTAAGGCACAATCATTTGATCTGGATAATAATCTTTATCTATAAAGAAACTTTAAACAGACGTTTATTGGACCGCTGAGTACTTTTCATTACTACACTGGCACCTATAGAAATTCAAGTATTTCCAAATGAACTTTAGATTTTTATTCATAGCTCCATTTTAAAAAGGACACAGATCCAAATGATCAATGATAATGTTTCCAGTCTTCCATCTAATATAATAAGTATATTATGCAAAGTAAGCTGGGATTTTTATTGTGTAATTTAAGATTTTAAACATTCTACAAGTCATATTTACTAAAGAATTGGTGGTCTCCCAGTTTCTCTCTGATCTTGCGAGAAATTATGAAACGAACTTTCTCTTTATTATCACAAATTTAACAATTTTTTTAAGATTTAAATCATCGTTAACATATGTTTCAATACAAATATAAATTTTTATTAGCGTTGAAAATTTTCTAGTTAACGACTGGTATGCTTAAGCACCGAATTGTTCTTACGTTCATACACACACACACACTTTATTATCACCAGGACTTTAATTCAAAACGCCCAACTTAGGTCTTAATGACAGCGTAACTGTGTTATTAATTCATGCTAACAAATGTCAGTAAGCGTCTGGTGGAATAGACAGTCTCTACTCTTGCATAATTGATTTACGTGCACGAAGGTTTTAAAATATGACCTTTCTGTCTCTTCGGATATATTACAAAACTCCATAATCGGATTAAGACCTGAACTTTAGGCTTATTTGTATATATATATCTTTTATGGCAGAGCTTCTTATGCTATCTGCCGCCGTCCTTAATTTTGAGCTGCTGACCACAGGGAAGGCAACCGGCTGGCAACACCCCCTTTCAACCTTGATATTAATGACAGCGTGACAAGTTTGTAAATCTGGGCTGTTCTTATAGCAAATTAAAAAAAAAACGAATAAAAACAACGACTTTTCAATAACTTTTATTACACAATTCAAAGTGAAACGACATGGTGCTCCCTGCGTCCCACTATGATCTACATATGATCTCACATTAAAGTCGTGTTGTTTCGTCTCAACATGTTTCAATTTTCACAATGACTAAGTATTGATTAATCTTGAATAATTTGACCAATATTCAATAATACTACATTCATTTGTTTTGAATTTTCACAGCGAATTTGGGGTTCAAATGCCTTGAAGACGTATACTATCCACGCCGTGTCCAATAATCTTTCCACTTCGAAGGTTCGTGAGCTCCTTTCCTTATGGCATCTTGACTTGATCTTGCTATCTGTGGCAGCTACTGACATTTATTTATAAATCCTACACTGCAGTAAACCATGGAAATCTCATGCAGATTTAGTAAAAAATTAACACTTTATCAGCTGTATCTAGATCATTAACTTTGTTAATTTAATCTATAAACCAACGTTCAAACTCTAAAATAATTAGCAACTATGAAGATATTAAATACAAATTGTAGCTTGGAAATAATTTAGAATAATACTTCTCATTATTGAATGCTATACAGTATCAAATTCGAAGCTACTAACAGCGCCATCAAAATTAGAACGAATGTACTGTCAAAACACAAGAATGTTTGAAAATGCCATGGTTACACATATAAAGAAGAATATCTCACCTACGGTTAGACATCAACTAAATACAATAAATATCAACTTGTCTACTAAGTAATTTAACCTTTCATTTTTCAGCTACGTGGTCCAATAACATGAAAAAGTCGGGAAACTGTCTTTATAGAAATATGAGTAGTGATTCTTTTTCTAAAATGCATAACCAAAATATGTTCATAGAACATAAAATCTGATTTTTAAAAACGGGACATTTGTGTGTTAGGTGTGACCAACGCAACTATGTGAGCTTGCAGCGATTAGGTGTACCGATCTGGTGCGTCTCGCGGAGTTACGTCAAGACCAACACGCCTAACCAGCATTCAGTTGACTCTGATTAACAGATATAGACAGCAGCCTAGGTGACAAACCCAGACAACAGTTAGAGAAAAGCATTAAGGGATATTGCGCGCGTATATCTACGTCACTAAACCTCTTTTTACTATTCTACTTTTTTTAAAGATAACTCATAGACAATTTTAAACACAGAAATTTTAGGGGTTACAGCCGATTAATTGTTTTTTATTTGAATCAAAATTAATTTCGACGCCTATGAATGCCGTAAAGCAGCAAAATGGCGGCATCCGGTGGGGATGCCCTTTCCAAACGAAGGTTTTTGATTCGGTTGGGTATGAAGAATAAAACTGATCTTATACATAATAATAGCTGGAGACCGCTTGAATGGGAAATGAAGAAAAACTTTAATATAAGTTTAACATAACAGTAAATGTACAACGTCATCACCATTCAAGCCGTCTCCAGCCATTATTTGTCTCAAAGTGGGTTCCTCGTCGTCGAATTTGATCTTATACATGTTTTCTATAAAACTCGCTCCGTTTGTTATATCTGCGGACTTACAATGCTAGAAACCAAGTTTTGAAACCCGTGGTGGGTAGAGCACAGATAACCCATTGTGTAGCTTTGTGCTCAACTTGAAACAAACAAACCGTTTGTTATAGTAAAATATTTTCCAGTGGTTTTGTGAAGTATCAAACCTTTAATTATTTATAGCACACAAGTTTTTGAATTTAAGCAAATTAGTTTAAAAAATTAAAGTATATAAACACAATTCTAATCCAATAAAATGAAAAAAGTCTTTATTCTCCCTTTTAATACCCACACAAAAGGCGTGGTTGATAAACACAACACTTATTTTAATTTGGTAATATAGACTGACTGTGACAGATTTGTTAGTGTATATTTTTTAATATCGATGTTTGCTTGAATTAAAGTTATATTTACAAGTGTACATAACGTTTACAGTTAAATATGTATTGAGAAACTCCCGCCTGTTCTCTAATGTTTCTCGAGATTCTCGAGAGTAAGAATCAACAATATATGTATGTACGTAAACGCTTAATGTAGCTCTGTATCGTTACGTAATCTGAATTTTCTAGAAACGCTCCACACGCCTATAAATATAACCAAAACGACGCGCCAAAAAGTAGTATCTATTATTAGTTTTCTATAGTCAGTGTGCTATAAACTTTGGAAGCTATAACTGTGATTATTATAAAGCTTATTAATCGGAAAATCGAAAAATTAATCGGATATTTGACCAGGAGCACTTACAAAGTTCGAACATTACAAATCATTTAACTTCAGTGGATTCTCATCGGACATTAGTATTTTATGAAAACATTACCTAACGTCACCGGTAGGAAAACTGGTGTGGCTGGTGAATAACGAAGGACAAAGCTAGCTAGCTCCCCGTTAAGCGAATCTTACCTACGTCAACTCGTAATTAACTCGCTCATCCTGAACCCTC